CATCAGTTTGTTGTAAACTCCTCGAACATATAATATACTCCCACATAATGAGACATCTTAATACTAATAAAGTGTTATTCGAAAATCAACATGGGTTCAGGTACAAGCGGTCTTGTCAGACACAGTTATTTGAATTATCTACGGATTTACATGACTCTTTGCACAAATTGGTTTACACAGATGCTGTATTTATCGACTTTTCTAAAGCCTTCGACCGTGTTTCCCACATACGGCTCCTCCAAAAAATAAACTGCCTAAAGTTAGACATAAAAACTACCCGCTGGATTCAGGAATTTCTATCTGGTCGCTCTCAAAAAGTAAATATAAATAATAATCTCTCCAGTTCCTGTGTCGTTAGGTCAGGAGTACCTCAGGGATCAGTTTTAGGGCCTTTATTATTCCTGATATATATTAATGACATAGCGAACAATATAACTTCAACAATTCGACTGTTTGCCGATGACTGTATAATTTATAGACAGATCACATGCACTGATGACGTAGCTATTTTGCAAAGCGATCTAAATACCCTGGCTAAATGGTGCCACACGTGGAAAATGGAAATTAATACAGATAAAACAAAGGTCATGTCATTTTCTTCGAACCCAAATACTCCATTAAATCGATACATGTTATGCAGTGTGGATATTAAACGAACCTTTTCTTTCAAGTATCTTGGCGTAATATTTACTCCTGATTTAAACTGGGCCATGCATATTGAACACGTAACAAACAAGGCACTAAAGAAACTTGGCTTCCTTAAGCGCCGTTTACATCTCGCAAACCACGAAACTAGACTTCGCGCTTACACTTCCCTCATCCGTGCAACCCTCGATTATGCTTCAATTATTTGGAACCCTCACACAGCTATACTGTCCGACTGTATTGAATCCATTCAAAACAAGGCTGCCCGCTTCATTTTGCACTCATACTCGCCATACCAAAGTGTCTCAGCCTTAAAACAGATTCTTAATCTTCCAGAACTTAACACTCGTCGTAAATTCTTCCGCTTGACCTTTTTTCACTCTCTGTATCATGGTATTACACCTTTTTCATGTGCTCATATTTTCCCTGCCCATTATGTGTCCAATCGCACTGACCATGCTCGTAAAGTGTCGTCCATATTTGCAAGGACCAAAAAATACCAAAATTCCCCTTTTGTGTTATCTGTAACCGAGTGGAACGAGCTTCCCAGCGAGATTGCGATGATAAATGATCCGTCTGCATTCCAATCAGTGCTGCGTACATTTCTTGATATGTAATATGTCTGCTGCTACTATATTTTACCCTGTTGTTATAACTCGTGTATTAGTGAAACGATGAAGAACTAGTGCCATGCAGATTCCTGGAATTGAAATGTACTGGAGATGTGAAATGAGCCATGCGTTACATCCTTGTCGTAAAATGTACCTTTTACCTAGTTATGTCTGATCGCTGTGTGTGTTCCTTTTATATGAATTGATGTATACCTTGTTTTTAACAGTATCCCCCCCTATGTAATGCCTCTCGAGGCCTTTAGGGTATTTAAATAAAAAAAATATTACAATGAATTAAGGCTACAAGTAATATGTTTTTAGCTCGTATGTCAGACTGCCATAAAAAACCTAATCAAAACAATTTAAAAGAGATTCTATTCTTCAAGTTCATCCTCTTCTGATTCGCTCCTTCAACACGTGCAGTGATTAGTGCAACCTGGGATGCAGATCATCATCATCTTGAACTAACCCGTACTCTCTTCATTGTCCTCCTTTTCTTCATCTTATGCCTCACTGACTGCACATGTACGTATTCTCATGCCCGTCGACGTCTTCTTAGTTTTAGGAGACAAATCTAACACTACCTAACATGATAAGAATTACGTATGTACCCTTATGATGCTTATGAACGTTCTTCCTGTTCTGCCAGATTGTTACGGAGTCTCTCATTGACACTTGCCCGTTCTTTCGGAAAGGGCTAGCTAACGGCAGCCCTGCGTACATGTTCGGGAAACAGGATAAAAAAATGGCCCCGTATCTGCAAGGTACACCACAAATGTCATCGAAAGATAATAATCTTGCGTCTGGAGAGAGTGAAAAAAACGTTTATCTGATGTTCTGCGCAAAAAAAAAAATCTGTGAATGGTATTCTGGAGGCGCTACGTTAGAGTGCCCCGAGCGTGAAGCGAAGGCTAACGAGCGCATCAAGTCACGTCGCACGTGAGACATGAGCGCTGTCTGGCAGTTATCCTCGAAAACGAGGCGCGCGCATGCGTGCCCGTCTCTGAGGTGATAAGGTGTAGAACGCAAGGGAACGGGTAAGTACCACCATCATGTCGTTTCAGCAAAGCATTCGAAACACTTGCCGTTTCCTGCAAGCGTTGCACGGCCAGCGCAGCGTTATAAAGGCTACGATCCTTAAAATTACTTATGTATGCCTTTTCAAGTAAAAAATATACATAATATTGACCTGTTAGAGTGCCTCAGATATCCGCAATATTTGCTTTTCAATTGACAATCGCACAATTATAAACACTGAACCTTGAGCGTTATTAGGCGCTGCGGATATGGTCGACCATTTGGAGTATCGTTTAGTCACTTTGATGCCGTTTATGGTACCATCAAGAGTGGACAAACAGTCAAATGGACAGACAGACAGACAGACAGACAGAGAGACAGACAGACAGACAGACAGACAGACAGACAGACAGACAGACAGACAGACAGACAGACAGACAGACAGACAGACAGACAGACAGACAGACAGACAGACAGACAGACAGACAGACAGACAGACAGACAGACAGACAGACTGATGGGCATGCGGGCGGGCGGGTGGGCGGACAGACAGACATATAGACAGACAGACAGACAGACAGACAGACAGACAGACAGACAGACAGAAAGACAGATAAGCGGGTGGGCGGGCGGGCGGACAGACAGACAGACAGACAGACAGACGAAAACTTTTGCGTTGAAGGTTTCCAAACAGGCTATCATCTTTAATGTACCGGACAAAGACTGCCCCTTGCAAGACTGGACGGACGACTAAGGAGAAATGGAGAGAGACTGCTCGGTGTAGGGTGAATCATTAGCCGAAAGGCAGTATACAAATTATTTACCGTTAGCCTGAGAGCAGGGGTCAAGGGAATAGCGCTACCATGCAGCAAACGTTCATTGCAAAAAGCGTCCTATAGTGTAGTGGGATAGCGTTTACGTGGTTTACCAGCCGCAGCTGGTATGGTGGCGTCATTTAATGGAGGGTTAATAGGTTAAAGAACACTGAAAAAGAAAAAAAAAGTTAGCGAGAATGTTTGCCTGTGTGACCACGTGAATTGTAATTTCATTTCAGTATAATCAAAAGTAAATAATTACAAACCAAACACAAAAACCGAAAGCATCTATGTTGCTGATTTGTTTGCGTCAGCCTCATATTTGGGCCTAGAGACTTTTGAAAAGGGAATCTATCTCAAGAACTACGCTGACCTATCTATAATACCCGGCCATCTAAGCTAACTGAACGCAAGCAAAGACATTTTAAATTGTCACTTGCTGCGAAAGAAGTGTATCTCTCAATAACTACGTCAAATTCACTGTGAAGTTGACATCCCTTAGCTCTGCTATGTTTTACGTGCGCTATGTAGACAACGCTAATACGGCAACGTTAAATGTGAAAAATAGCGTGCGTACAGCGAGCAGTACAAATCACGTACATTACTGAGCATGCGCATTTTATTCGCGCAATCCCGGTAAGCTCGCTATCCCGCTAAGCCCGGTAAACTATAACTGTCGTGTGGAAGATACCTCTTGAAAGAGAACAAACATAGATGCTCGGCTCTCCAAAGTTGCTGCATATAGTGTAAATAAACGTTTCGCGTATAATATTGAATACCATCGTAACCGAGTTACTGTAGTCGAACCCACTATTTATAACATTATTGAAATAAGTGCCATCCACTGAAGTTGCTCTACGCAGCAACAGCCGAGGCTACAAGACTCGCAAGCAATAGCGCTACATACCAGCGTAGCGCTTATGGTGCTTGCTCCTATTGGCATTGTTACTCAACTGTAAACAATTATTTATATCAGACACATGCGACTGTTCCAGAATGTGTGTGCGTACAACATTTGTACACCTATTGACCGTTATTTCGTAATGTTTCGCTAAATGAAAAGTTACACCACATCCACCTTTCATTCGCATGCTTCGTATAACACCAATTCCCACGGTGTGTGGCACATTCCGATTTTAGACGCAGATTATCACACTTTGGCGTAAGTTTTTTTTAATGAATGTGCCGTTTTCGCACTAGGGAGGGTGGAGCTATAAGCATACCACTGTCTAGCATTTTGGCGTCGCGGTAATGTCAACGTGACTACACGTTATGGTACGCCCAAAGCTTCTCAATTTGAAACAAAAAAAAAAACGCGTATTGTTTCCCTCGGAACCTAGGAAACAAAAAGAAAAAAAGCACACATCTATCTCCAAGCTTGTCCTGGCGTCAACATTGAACGGAATCTGCCGGAAATGTTAGCTGAACGTAGTGATTTTGTCTGCGGCTAAACTTCGATAGGGAGTATTGAAGTTAGTCTCCATGTGTGCAGTGGCAGATTGACAAAACTGAGGGCAATCCATCTGGTAGTATAGGTCATTGTTATAACAAATAAATTTGTGCGAGTCATTTACAGTGACTGCTTTTTCCTATTGCGAAGCTGAAATAATCCATCTCTACCAGAGACACACACCTGTGGAGCCGAAACTAACCACAATGCCGTCAGTCTACATAGAAGCGACACGGAAGAAATGCAAAACTGATGCATGTATTAAAGCTAAACAATAGAATGTTTTTATTTCTTGAAACCTGCCATGAAAAGACGACTTCTTTATATATCTCTCTTTTTTTTTCCTTAGATGTTACGTTAAAGTGCGGACAATGTCTCGAAAGAAGTTTGAGACATTTTTTTTATACTTCATGTGAAAATACTTGCGAGTCTGAATTTTTAATTTAGTATAAAAGGGCCCAGCGTTACTAGTTAGGGCAGACAGATTCGTGCAGCGAAGTAGGCGCACCATGAAGCCCACAAGCCTGACTGCAGTGGTCCTCAGCCTGCTCAGTAAGTTTGGAGAAAAAATCAGTTATATCTAAGTATCTTCATGCAACTTTCAATTTTCTATATTTCTCGCGACCTCCTTCATGGTAGTACTTTCTGTGTACCTACTGCTGGCATTCTAATTCCGCACAACTTAGTGCTCATTAGTGCTATAAAATATGAAGCATTACTGAAAGTCCTCAACACCACAAAAGTAGTGAGAACTTGTCGCTAAACATTACTGCACAAGGTTAGCATCCATGAAATTGCTTCAGTTGCAGGTAAAAAAGCACCTTTCGGTCCGTGCTGCTTCAAATGATGGGCACCGCCTTGTCTGCAGCGAACTTTGTGCAATCGACTATCCAGCACTTACCCCGAAAAATTCTTCTCTTCAGAGATGCTACAGCAATCTGCAGCAATCTCTAGGACTTGGTGGCTTCAAGGCCTTTTTTGTTTCGCGTCGCATTAGGATGCTCTCACATAAAGTCAAATTGTTGGGTCATGGCAACAAAAAACCGGATGACGAGGCAGTGTATACGAACCATCCAGCGCGCAAGCGAGCCGCCGCCATCGGCCACTGACCGCGCGATTACAGTGTACTAGTACACTCTAACGTGATCATGCTCTGAAATGTTGATGAGCTGCAGACACGCTGGCGCCTTCTAATTTACAAACCTGCAAATGCTCCCTTTTACGTGCAGTAAACTGCATAAAATGTCATTGTATCTTTTCTGAGTGGAGTTTATATAAGCACGTCACACAATCTACGTTTGTGTATATTGTCACCAATCTTGTCTCACTCAAGGAAACCTTCCGCAGAACTGCTCGTCAAGCTAGGACAAAAAGAAAAACTGCTCCAACCCAACCTCTTCGTCCTCTTCCACACCAAAACCACGCGAATTCATGCGGCATTAAAAAGCGGCTCAATCCCAACCTCTTCGTCCTCTTCCACACGAAAACCACGCGAATTCATGCGGCATTAGTCCCCCCTTTTAAAAAGCATCGACTCGATGCTTCTAAATAAAAAGAAGAAGAAAAAAAAAACCCATCATTAGAACACGCGTTGACGCAGAGAATGACAAAGTGAGTGCTAGGGAAAACAAAGAGGGCGCACAAGCACTTGGACCATGCGCGAACACAACAGCTCGGGAGCAACAGCATTGAGTGGATTCGCGAAATCGTCCGCTCCGTCGTCCGCGAGGAAATCGCGAAACTACACGGGGCGAGACAGCCGGAGGTAAGCAGCATCACCAATATTATTCGGGACGAGGTCCAGCAGGTGCTTCACAGCCGTCGCCCTCAACCAACGGTTACAAATCTAGAACCACCTCCTGCGTCCACAGATGTTGGGAACCGCACATATGCCGAAGCTCTGCGCACTTCCATGCCGGTCTCAAGCCCTGCAGTCCCAATCCAGACGATGCCGCCAGTTTATTTCAATTCAATCTGCGCATGCTGGTTTGGACATCGACGGTCGCCGTGCCCCTCCGCGGAAGTCCGATATTTGGCGTACGTCGGATAGAAGACCCCTCTGCTTCCATTGCGGTGAAGCCGGTCACATCTACCGGGAATGTCCATACCGACAACTTGGACTGCGCGGTTTCTCTATTCATTCGCCTCGTCCCCTAGTTGGTCAGAGGCCAAGAGAAATTGAGGACTACCTCGCGCAGCAACGTCTGCCTTTCCCACGGCGTCAATCGCGGTCTCCATCTCCACGACGACCCGCAGCTATTGGACCACGTCTCAGTACGATGGCACGGGGACGTTCCCCAAGCCCTCGTCGGGAAAACTGAAGGCAGCGACCTTTGGGGGCGAGGTCGCTGGGACTAAAAGTGCGGAAGACCTCCTATCGACGCTTCCACAAAACGCTGCAGACATTGAATTGACGTCTGAGTGCAGTGCGAGAGAAATGCCGGATTGTGCGTCTGAACCCAGTGGCCGAGTCTCACTCGACATTCCCGTGCTGATAGACGGTCTTCAGGTCAGCGCATTGGTGGACACAGGTGCAGATTATTCTATTATGAGCGGAAAATTGGCAACCAGTCTTAAGAAAGTGATGACACCTTGGAATGGGACGCGTATTCGCACTGCTGGAGGCCACGTTATTACTCCATTGGGTCGCTGTACCGCAAGAGTGGAAATACGCGAGTCAACGTTTGTGGTAACCTGCCTCGTACTACGCGACTGTTCTCGTCAGCTCATCCTTGGAATGGACTTCCTTCGAGAGAATGGCGCGATCATAAATCTCCGCGAGCGAATGGTGACTTTCTCGACGCAACTTGCAACCGATCGAGGCGCTGATAGCTGTCGTAGACCTGCGCTGCGTGTTGCCGACGAAAGCGTGACGTTGCCTCCCCGAGCGACTGCTTTCGTAGAAGTCACCTGTGAAGACCTCCAAGACGGTGACGTGGTCGCCGAGAGCAACGTATCCCTTTTACTGCTTCAAGGTGTGTGTGCAGTGCGAAGCATTCTGCGTGTGCGTGACGGACGGTCGCAGATACTCGTCACAAATTTTAACTTCGAGCACCGACATCTTTTCCGCGGCACCACCGTGGCCTTCGGAGACCGTGTAGCGGATGTCACCGAGTGCTTCGCATCCGAGGAAATGGTTGATGGAGATAAGTTTCTGGACCACATCGACGTCAGTTCGAAGCTTTCGGACGAGAAGAAGGCCGCACTGCATACCCTGCTGAAGGAATTTAAATCTTGCTTCGCCTCTTCATCTAGAGTCGGTCAAACACCCCTCATAAAGCACCGAATTATTACCGACGATGATGTTCGCCCAATCCGCCAGCAACCTTACCGTGTTTCGGCTAAAGAACGCGAGACTATACAGACGCAGGTAAAGGAGATGCTTGACGACGGGGTGATACAACCGTCGAGCAGCCCGTGGTCCTCGCCAGTCGTTCTAGTAAAGAAGAAAGACGGAACGCTGCGATTCTGTGTTGACTACAGGAAACTCAATAGCGTCACCAAAAAAAGACGTCTACCCGCTTCCACGGGTTGATGATTCTCTCGACAGGCTACGACACGCGAAGTATTTTTCATCGATAGATTTGAAAAGCGGCTCAATCCCAACCTCTTCGTCCTCTTCCACACGAAAACCACGCGAATTCGATTGGTGACAAGATTGGTGGAGGTGCGGGGTAATGCCTTTGTCTCAGCATACCGGGTCAAGTAATCGGTTGCCACTATAATCCATTTGTTACCAGTGGCCGACAAAGGGAAGGGTCCTAGAAGGTCCATTCCCACGAGGTCGAAAGGTGTCCGTGGTGGTGTAATAGGGTGGAGAAGGCCCGCAGGTTTCACGGGTGGCGTCTTGCGACGCTGGCACTCGCGGCAGCCTTGCACGTAGCGGTGTACACTGGTCGAAAGTCGTGGCCAATAGTACTGCTGGCGCACTCTGGCGAGAGTCCGCGAGTAGCCCAAGTGTCCCGACGTGGGCTCGTCGTGGCACGCGAGGAGGATGTCATCCCGCATGTCGGCTGGTACAACGAGGAGGAAGGCTTTGTTGCTACCTCGAGCATTTTTCTTGTAAAGAATGCCCCTCCTTAGACAAAAGGATGACAATTCGCGAGCGATGCGCCGAGGAGTGTGAGAATTTCGGCCTTCTAAGGAATCAATAATAGGGCGCAATTCCTGATCGGCTCTCTGTCTAGACATAAAGTCAGAATCACTGAGGGCTCCGAGAAAACCATCAGCATATTCCGAGTCCATATCAGGATGTCCCACGGGTGCTCGAGAAAGTGCGTCGGCATCTTCGTGCTTGCGCCCAGACCTATACACAATCATGATGTCAAACTCTTGCAAGCGCAAACTCCACCGAGCGAGACGACCAGACGGGTCACGGAGATTGGCCAGCCAACACAGCGAATGGTGATCGGTCACCACCTTGAAGGGACGGCCGTAGAGGTAAGGTCGAAACTTTGCCGTTGCCCACACGACTGCGAGGCATTCCTTCTCTGAAGTGGAGTAGTTGGCCTCGGCTCGAGAGAGAGTACGACTGGCGTAAGCTATGACATGTTCTACGCCGTTGTGCCGTTGTACAAGGACAGCGCCAAGTCCGACGTTGCTTGCATCCGTGTGAACTTCGGTATCAGCGTCCTCATCAAAATGCGCAAGAACAGGTGCCTCTTGCATTCGCTGCCGTAACTCTGTGAAAGCTGCTTCTTGCTCTGTAGTCCAGGCAAACGGTACATCATCTCGGGTGAGTCGCGTGAGCGGTTCGGCTATCGTCGAGAAGTTGGTAATGAATCGGCGATAATAAGCACACAAGCCGAGAAAACGCCGTACCGCTTTTTTGTCTGACGGCACAGGAAAGGTGGCGACTGCTGCAGTTTTTTCTGGGTCAGGCCGCACTCCATCCGCACTCACAACATGTCCCAGAAATTTCAGCTCATCGTAGCCGAAATGGCACTTCTGGGGTTTTAGCGTGAGTTCGGCCGAACGAATAGCTTCCAGAACCATTCTTAGACGCTTCAGATGTTCTTCGAAACTCTCGGCAAAGATGACCACATCATCAAGGTATACAAGGCAGCTTTGCCACTTCAAGCCAGCGAGGACGGTATCCATCATTCGCTGGAATGTTGCGGGAGCCGAACAGAGGCCGAAAGGAAGAACTCTGAATTCATAAAGCCCATCGGGAGTTACAAACGCTGTCTTCTCTCTGTCTCGCTCATCGACCTCTATCTGCCAATAGCCGCTCTTCAAATCTATCGATGAAAATACTTCGCGTGTCGTAGCCTGTCGAGAGAATCATCAACCCGTGGAAGCGGGTAGACGTCTTTTTTGGTGACGCTATTGAGTTTCCTGTAGTCAACACAGAATCGCAGCGTTCCGTCTTTCTTCTTTACTAGAACGACTGGCGAGGACCACGGGCTGCTCGACGGTTGTATCACCCCGTCGTCAAGCATCTCCTTTACCTGCGTCTGTATAGTCTCGCGTTCTTTAGCCGAAACACGGTAAGGTTGCTGGCGGATTGGGCGAACATCATCGTCGGTAATAATTCGGTGCTTTATGAGGGGTGTTTGACCGACTCTAGATGAAGAGGCGAAGCAAGATTTAAATTCCTTCAGCAGGGTATGCAGTGCGGCCTTCTTCTCGTCCGAAAGCTTCGAACTGACGTCGATGTGGTCCAGAAACTTATCTCCATCAACCATTTCCTCGGATGCGAAGCACTCGGTGACATCCGCTACACGGTCTCCGAAGGCCACGGTGGTGCCGCGGAAAAGATGTCGGTGCTCGAAGTTAAAATTTGTGACGAGTATCTGCGACCGTCCGTCACGCACACGCAGAATGCTTCGCACTGCACACACACCTTGAAGCAGTAAAAGGGATACGTTGCTCTCGGCGACCACGTCACCGTCTTGGAGGTCTTCACAGGTGACTTCTACGAAAGCAGTCGCTCGGGGAGGCAACGTCACGCTTTCGTCGGCAACACGCAGCGCAGGTCTACGACAGCTATCAGCGCCTCGATCGGTTGCAAGTTGCGTCGAGAAAGTCACCATTCGCTCGCGGAGATTTATGATCGCGCCATTCTCTCGAAGGAAGTCCATTCCAAGGATGAGCTGACGAGAACAGTCGCGTAGTACGAGGCAGGTTACCACAAACGTTGACTCGCGTATTTCCACTCTTGCGGTACAGCGACCCAATGGAGTAATAACGTGGCCTCCAGCAGTGCGAATACGCGTCCCATTCCAAGGTGTCATCACTTTCTTAAGACTGGTTGCCAATTTTCCGCTCATAATAGAATAATCTGCACCTGTGTCCACCAATGCGCTGACCTGAAGACCGTCTATCAGCACGGGAATGTCGAGTGAGACTCGGCCACTGGGTTCAGACGCACAATCCGGCATTTCTCTCGCACTGCACTCAGACGTCAATTCAATGTCTGCAGCGTTTTGTGGAAGCGTCGATAGGAGGTCTTCCGCACTTTTAGTCCCAGCGACCTCGCCCCCAAAGGTCGCTGCCTTCAGTTTTCCCGACGAGGGCTTGGGGAACGTCCCCGTGCCATCGTACTGAGACGTGGTCCAATAGCTGCGGGTCGTCGTGGAGATGGAGACCGCGATTGACGCCGTGGGAAAGGCAGACGTTGCTGCGCGAGGTAGTCCTCAATTTCTCTTGGCCTCTGACCAACTAGGGGACGAGGCGAATGAATAGAGAAACCGCGCAGTCCAAGTTGTCGGTATGGACATTCCCGGTAGATGTGACCGGCTTCACCGCAATGGAAGCAGAGGGGTCTTCTATCCGACGTACGCCAAATATCGGACTTCCGCGGAGGGGCACGGCGACCGTCGATGTCCAAACCAGCATGCGCAGATTGAATTGAAACTGGCGGCATCGTCTGGATTGGGACTGCAGGGCTTGAGACCGGCATGGAAGTGCGCAGAGCTTCGGCATATGTGCGGTTCCCAACATCAGTGGACGCAGGAGGTGGTTCTAGATTTGTAACCGTTGGTTGAGGGCGACGGCTGTGAAGCACCTGCTGGACCTCGTCCCGAATAATATTGGTGATGCTGCTTACCTCCGGCTGTCTCGCCCCGTGTAGTTTCGCGATTTCCTCGCGGACGACGGAGCGGACGATTTCGCGAATCCACTCAATGCTGTTGCTCCCGAAGCTGGCGGAAAATTCAGTAGGTGATGCAGAATTCACTTGCCGGTTGAGTAGGGCTGACCGCTGATGAAGTACCCTCTCCATCGTAGTGGCTTCGGTCAGGAATTCTGCTACACTCTTCGGAGGACTCCGCACTAGACCAGCAAAAAGCTGCTCCTTCACGCCTCGCATCAGATAGCGTAGCTTTTTTTCTTCTGGCATTGCCGGATCCGCTCGCCTGAAAAGCTGCGTCATGTCCTCCACGTACATGGTGACGGTCTCATTAGGCATCTGGATGCGTGAATGCAATGCACGTTCAGCACGATCGCGGCGGTCGGGGCTCCGGTAGGTCTCCAAGAGGCGATGCTGGAACTCGCGCCAGGATGTCAAGACATCACTTCTGTTCATGAACCACGTTCGGGCGCCGTCTTTCAAACACGCGTAGACGTTGCGGAGTTTGGCGGCTTCGTCCCAGTAGTTGATCGCTGCGACGTGTTCGAACTCGCTCAGCCAGTCGTCCACATCCTCAAACGGCTCTCCGTGAAAGGGACTAGGCATCAGCGGGTTCTGGACAGTGCAATAAATTGGTGCCGACGACGTAGGAGTTTCCATGACGCCTTGAGGCGAAGTCATAGTCGCTCTATGGATAAGCTGTGCCGGTGTCTCTGGTGGTAGGCCTCGTTGGCGGCGGCTTGTTCTGTGAACTGGCGTGTCCACGGGCACAGGGCTTGTGTTCCGGCTCCTGGATGGGCTCTTGTGCATGGGGTGCGTCGTCAGTTGTCGTACCCAGCACCTCCACCAATCTTGTCACCAATCTTGTCTCAATATTACACGAGCGCAGTTTTTGGTGATTTGAGAGCGGGAATGCGACAGTGTCAAACTGCCATTTTTAGCGCTGTCCTAATGTATTGAAATGGCAACAATGACAATGATTCAAGATGTCCATGCTTTGGTGGATATAGCTTTCCCGGCCCAGCTTTTCCTCTAGAGCCTGTATGTTAACGCTAAGCTTAGTCACCAAATGTTCTTTTTCTAGCATCTTCATTGCGCTATATCACAGCGCCGCTTTGCAATAAAAAGTACCGATTAACTTGTGATTAAGAACGTGACACTGATGGTATCGGGTCGAAAACCTACAACTCAAGTGTTTAAGATGTTGCTGTCTAGAATGAATATTTTATATCTGAAAACAATTTTTTTCAGGCCAGCAAGTCTTCGCAGGCTGGTATGGAAAAAACTACCAGGGCTTCGGGACCGAATTTGGCGGCGGATACGGCAGCGGATTAGGCAATGCATTTGGAAGCGGATTTTGGCTAAGTGATGTCGGGAGTGGCATCGGTGGCGGATATGGTAGTGGAATTGGTGGAAACGGTGGCTTCTGGAGCAACAGTTATGGTAGCCCCTACACAACTCCCAGGGTCGTTCTTTACCCCATTGTTTTGCCAAGCGGAATCGGCAGCTTGTGGGGACCCATCAGTGGCTGGTACGGAAACAGCCCTGTCGGGTACTGGGGGTCTTCGCGTTCTCCATACAGCGTATGGTTTTCCGGACCATCTGTTGTTAGTCAACCTGGCGCTGGACTGTGGGGTCCGCGTATGCTAGGTTCACCTGCCATGTGGTACACGTCAGGCAATCTCGGTGGTCAAAGCCCTTCGGGTGGGCTCTACAGAATGCCGTTGCTTGGAGGAACCGGACACCTCAGTGGAGTCGGACCAAGCGTGTACGATGGCATCTACGATGACAGCCCTTCTATAGGTAGCATTATTCCATCCAGCCGGAGTAGACAAAATGGCGGTTTTAGATTTCTGGGAAGCCCCAACAGCTTCAGCATCTTTAGCAGCCTCATAGGTAGCAGGGCTCCACAAAGCGGTATTGGCGGCAGTTTCAGCCTCATTGGTGACAACACCGACAATAATATCGATCTGAGCAGCGGGGATGGTAGTTACGGCAGTGTAAGCAGTCTACCCAGTTTCCTTCAAATGGGAGGACTAAGTGGATATGGCGGCATTATTTACAGTGGAAGTCCCTATATGAGATTCCTGTGCCACATCACTGGTCTCTCGCCAAGTGGTGTGCAGCGCCTTTACAGGAAGTACAGAAGAAGCGGCGTCAGATCCAGCTTTTTGACTTACCTGAGGCGAAGGGGCTACCTAGGTGGCAACTATGGTGGATTTCCTTTTGATTTTACAGAAGGTAGTGGAAGCCAGCCTGGAAGTGGTGGAAGTTTCTTCAACTGGAGATCACAGCCAAGTTATTACTACAGTTGGGGGACTCCCGTGGGACTTAGTGGATCGGGTAGTTATGGATCGTCTAGCTACCCATCACGAGCAAACTTTGACAGCAGCAGCTCTTGGAGTTCAGGAAGTTCTGGCATGTATGGGCCTCAGATTGGGCAAACACAAGTGAAAGTTCAATTGTAATAAGGATGAATGTTACAAGTCAGAACTGCATCATCAAAAGAATGCATCAAGGAAGTTTGATCAAGCAAGTTTGATCAAGCAAGTTTTTTGTGTATAAGATTTTGTAGTATTGCGTTTGAAAATAAAGTCTATGAATATTTTCAAGCAATCGTTGCATTTCAACTCCTGTGTTGTTTTTTTCTTGATCTAACGTAATTTCACAAAGACACAGTACAACGAAATCGACCAAAGTTGTGTTCAGGGACTTCTTTCGTGTACGGATTTTTACAAAAGCGCAAGGCAATAAAAACTGGCTGGGAAAAGCAGTTCCCGCTGTCTATAGCGAGATTTTTACGGGACATTTCTAAACTGAAGTTAGAACACATTGTTGAGGGTTGTGCGAAAGATAATAGCAATAATATTATTGGCGGCTTTAGTACCCATAATCAAGATATGATTGTGGGAGACGCCGCAGTGGAGGGATCTGATAATTTTGACCATCTGGTGTTTTTTAACATACGCAAACTACGCACTGTTGTCTGTGGACAACTATGCGCTCTTGAGTTCTGGGCTACACATTCTGAACGCAAAATATAGTTTTTAAGAAGTGCCCCAGTCATCACGAAGCAACAAGTACTTTCTTAGCATATGAATAAATGATGGGATATTTAGGCTTCGCCTTTACAAGTTGAGCATGAATATGTTTGCGAGCCCTTTTTCCACCATTTACTCAATGAATTATTTACTTCGCTCAGCCATAGCCACCGCAACCACGCTTAGAGGGAAGTATCATGCAGGACCATTTTTGGTGTTAATTTACTAACTCCTCCAACAACAAAAAATTTGGGCTGGTATCATGACTACTTTTCGGCCAAATCTAACTTCTATTTCGACGCAATTTGTGGCCGATTTTTCACTTCTTCGCGAAAAAAACAAGAATCAAGTTCAAGAGCCCAACTTTGCTTGATAACTATTTTGACCAGTTAGCCGAATTGTGAATGTCGTGCCTTTATCAGCCGGCTTCATCGCATACACACTCAAAACTTTGGTGCAGAAAAAAGTATGTGTTTTAATGGTACCGTTCAAAAGTGCCGGCTGTTCTCAAACAGAAGGAGGCACGCTAGCACTTTTTAGTCTTTGTTTTAGAAGCTTGATTGTCATCGCTTCTCGTGGAGTAGGGGGAACGGGTTGGGGTAAGCGCTGCAATGAACTTTCACTAGATCAATAATTCTAATCATAATTGATTAGGTTTAACGTTCTAAAGCCTTCGCTGGCCCGGATAGGGCGAGTCTTTGTATGATGATCGAGTGGATGTATGTAGGCTACACGGTTTACAAGAGTTAATATTTGGTGCAAGCTCCTTCATAAACATTCACTTCGTGCGTAGGGCTTTCTAAAATTATTTATAGGGGACTCTAGCGCTGCTATCGGTCGGTGACCATGCGAATACGGACATGACGTGGATTTTCCTAGTCTTCATGCTTGCGCGCAGCAAATCGTACATGTGGGCTCGTTTATCTGTGTGTGTTGGTTTTGTTTCGAAGGAAAGAAGAAACTGTTTTTCACTTAATTCGACACCCGATTCAATGTGGTAAGCTTAAAGGATTCAGGTGGTGAAGCGTAACTGCAACTGCCAAGCATTTGCCGATTGTCGTTTCGTGACCAAGCAGCTTCTGGCTACGCGAACCCACAACGAACGTACAGTACAAAGACTTTGCAAAGCCATCTCATACTCATAATTTCCATGGTCGCTGAAATGCCATGCGTTGCAGCTCCCATACACACTAGCGCCAGTGTTCGCCCTAGTGCATATTTAGAAAACTCTGCAACTTCGTTGAAATGGCACCATTTTTTCTCTAAATTTGATTGTCACTAATGTTTAAAAAACTTTAAAGCTCGAAGGTTTTGTATAGCTACAGCAGCAAACAGAAGTCGGCGCCTGGAGGTCACAAATTGTACTTGTCAAAAAGTGCTCTGCAGATTGCCAGGCAACATGCTCACGTTTGACAAATCATAGTCGTATTTTTAAGAGCGAAGCTGCGCTTAGTCGACGCTTCTGTGTCAGGTATTGGCTCAGAAATGATCACGTGGCCTCATAGCTTGGCGTTAGTGAGGCCTGGTAAGAAGGAGTAGGATGCCTCCTGGTGAACGAGGCGAGGTCTTGCTGCGAACGGTGAGAGCGTAGGCGGAGGATCTAGAGGGCATGCTGCAAGAGCTGAGGGCAATGGCGGAGGAGTTCACAGGTTGAATATGAGGTCTAGGTTTCCGAAATGACGCAAATTTCCCACTCTCCCGATGAAAAAGCGATCCGACGTGAGCATCAGCGAGAAGATACGTGAGACCCAACAAGCCGTCTCTGAGTCAACCATGATGTTCACCCAAAGAAGACCAAAGCTATAGTAAACGCCCAAGAACGCAACATTTCAAATATTTAGAAGTGCGATATGACCAGGTGAAGGGTGATCATTAGCTTTTCTGTTTAAACAGTATTCGCGAATTAGAATTTGCTGGATTATTTTTTTCCAAGTGCGGAGGAGCACTACAGCGGTTCCTTCCAGCAAGGAAGCCATGAGAAAAATACGAATGCCGATGACTCTACGGTGGTAGTGCGAAACATTAAATGTAACGCTGCTCGAGTCAGGACGTATTGTTAAAACGCAAGTGGTTCTGGCATCAGTAACGCCATGAAACGGGTGTGCCGGGAGGAAATGAAGAAAGAACTTCGAAGCCAAAAATATGACGAGCGCTTTATGTGGAACCTGCTGTAGGAGCCGGGTCTCTTGAGGGTCAAATTACCAAAGGTGAAAACGTTCGCATGTTGGTAGCATTTTTTATAATGAATGAAGGAAGAACGCAACAAACTGACGAAGATAACAGCCACAATGCCGTGTGTGTCGTATTCTCCACCCCTAGTAGGTTGTGCTGATCTTTCATTTTATAGCCCCAAGCTTTCCGGAAAAATATGTGGTGGTCAACCAAGCGGCAGTCACAAGTTGCTGCAAGGCTGCATTGAGAGTTATGAAAAAGGCGACATCCGCGAGAAATTCCGGGCCATATCATTTACAATCGGCGAGGGGGTGCTGCTGGCTCTGAATTCTTTAAAAGCTTGAAATGCGTGGCCAGCAGTATCACTCTAGATTACTGGATCACTCCATGTCAAGTGGCCGAGTGAAAGTCGTGATGAGGCTTCGTTATATTCAGAATCTCTCAGTAACACGTTTCAGGTTTACCTCGGACGTTCAATAAATTAGGACAATTCAGAAACCATGAAAAAATTTATTCACTGTTACCGGATTTCAGCTGAATGAACACAACCACTAAAAAAGTACAGTTTCAACAATTAGGAGGTGTACGAGCCTTGAACAGTGAAATGAAAAATTACCAACGCACCCGTACTAAGGAGAAAGCATTCGTCCCCAAAAGGAAGGCTAATTACCTAACGCAATCAATCGTCAACAATGTCCCTTCACTTCTGAGAAAGAATGAAAACGAAAATATTGATGTTCACGCCAGAACCCAGAAAGAAATGAGACATTTTTTTTTGTTGCAATCATCAATGACGCTTTTGTGCGAGAATAAGCATGTGTTACTACACACTTGATAAGAGTATCGCTCTTTTTCTTTTATGGTATTCATTTCATCGTAATAATTTCTAGTTTTATTTCTCACAAGAAGTTACACTATTTTACTGCTTTTTTGCGTTTCAATATCTCTGTGAATGGTCCACTGTTGTACACAAACACATTTTTTGTATGTTTCGAATAATATATTGTTGTCAATACAAGTCATGTATGCTTATTTACTTTATTTTGTTGTACACTGTGTATAGAGGTGCCATAAAGCGTTTTCAGGCACTCTCAGGCTGTTTGCAACAGCTTTTCGCCTGAGGGACCTCAAACAAATTGTAAGAACAATGTTCAGAATAAACATTTGATTGATTCATTCATTTATTGATTGATCAATCGATCAATTGATTGATTGACTGAGAGACTCATTCATTCATTCATTTATTCAACGATCAAGAGTTCGTCGGTGGAAGCGGCAGGGGGCGCACTACGTCCATGCGTATTGTCTGTTCTTATGTTAGTTCACGCGTTGAACCTCCTCTAGCAGCCATCTACGATTGCACGGCGCGCCGCCTATAGCACGTGCTCATTGGGAATATACAAGCGCACAGCTGTGGCGGAGAGATAAACTGAAGAGGAGGTTCGAAGAGGAGGCCGTGCTCCACCGCCTCCTCCTCCCCATCACCACCCGCCTTCACGCGTGAATGCGAGGAGAGGAGGAGAACTCGGGCATGCGCCGTGGGGAACGGATGGTCGCTGAAGGATTGACAGAGCCCCGAGTTAAAGCCGTTTCGCTTATAAAACATAAACATACCAATAAAATGCACGCCTAACTGGGTTGAACTAAGATGCAGTGCATTTAACCTTCTCGCCATACGGGGCTCCTGTCGTTCTTGCAGAGGAAAAAGGCAAAAAGCGTACTCGTTTATGCAATGATTACTAAAAGCCTAATGCTGTCACTGTGCCCGAATACCAACCTGTTCCACACATATACAATGTGCTAAACTGCCAGGAAAAATCGAAATATTTTTCAAAATTCGGTATTACCTCAGGGTATTGGCATGTGAAAATAAATTGTTTTCGTCAGCCGAACGGCCTTTATAAATGACTTGTAATTTCAGTTTGATAAATGCGCCTGCTACGCTCAAAAGAGCTGAGAAATTGGTGAATAAAAACATAACTTGAAAAATGTCTGTAATTACTTTTACAAGATTTTAGTCCTTTATGACATTTTTTGGAGCACCGACAGCACATCCAAGCTCTATTGCGTGATCTAAAAACAAAGATTATAAAAGAATATAAAATAGATACTGAAGAAGTGTCTTTTGCCCAATATTTTATCGAATATCTGGGTCACACAGCGTCGCATGGTACAGTATTTTGCACGGAACTACTTCAGTTTGAAAAATGCTTCTGCTACTTTTGAAAGAGCTATGAAATAATGATTAGAAAAGTAACTTGACAAATGTAGTTAAATAAATTGATGAAATCATATTCTTCTTCGGCATATTTTGGGAGCACCTAGAGTACCTCCAAACTCTATGGCATGCTCTAAAAACACAGAATATAGAACTGAAATGGAAGAAGTGCCACTTAGTCCAAG